CTTAAAGAGATTACGAATAAAACAGTAAAATTCTTAAATAATCGACAGAAGTGGCACTTCCCTTATTAATTAAATTCATGTAAATGTCTTCATAATTTCATTCCATTAGCTTCATGTCTGAAATAAATGATTTTAAGGGTTCCTTTGGCAATAAGAAAAACGGGAAATAAAAATCTGAATAACCAAATCAACCCACCGAAATCGTTCTTAGATTACAGGAATGCCTTTAGGCGCACGCTTTTTACTTGCTTTTAGCGACTATGATTTACGGTGGAAATGCACGTACGAAGGAAGAGGCATGGGTTTCGTGCTACACGACAACCGCACGAAATGCCTATCAACGGTTTAATGGCCGAAGTATCGGGAGCTTTAATGTACCGGATATGCTTCCGACCGTTTCGTTTTCCACTTTCTTAATTCTGAATTCCCCAATCGATGCGGTTCTAACTCGCAGTTTGAGTCAAACACTATTATTTCCGAAATATCCGCAATTTGAGGCATTAACTTTAATCTTTGCTTGCATTCCAAGAAAACCATCATTGCCTTTTATTGTTCTATTCAGGCATTGAATTACTGGCTTCCTTGAATTCATGTCATTAACCTCCTTTTAAGCCGCAATACTATTCTATTGTCAAATGTAGAGAGGAAATATAAGAAAATTTCAAATATGGGAGAATTTAAATTGTTCATGACAGCCTTCAATTTTTGTATGTTCGTTGGATTTTTACGTTATAGTTAGTAATTAAACAAACTTTATCAATATTATTTTTATTTCTTTTCGGACAATATCATCATAATATAATAATATAATAATATAATGAATTTTGACGTTCAATTAATTGTAGAATTTAATTATTTACCTTTTTGTTTTTTAAACTAGAATACTATTTTATTTTCAAATATAAGGGAAACAAAATTTGTGTTTAAGCTACATTAGCCTTCAACTTCTTTTTATTCTTTCTACTCTTATGCTAATTAGCAATTGTACTAGGTCTATCAATATTATTTTCATTTCCTTTGTACAGTGTCATCGTAAAATATATATGTATTTTGATTTTCAATTAATTACAGTATTTACTTACTTACTTTGTCGTTGTCTAGACTGCAGTACGATTTTATTTTCAAATATAAGAAAAACAAAATTTAAATTTAAACTATGACAGCCTTCAACCTTTTTATATTCTTTCTACTCTTATACCATAATTAGTAATCGTACAAACTTTATCAATATTATTTTAATTTCTTTTCGAACAGTATCATCTTATATTACATCTGAATTTTGATCTCTAATTAAGAATAGCATTTAGTTATTTACTTTTTCGTTTCTAAAAACTGTCAAATTATCAGACACTTCGGCCTAAACCTATAACCACTTTAACGCCGTTCAAATGAAGATTCATTGAATTTCTGTCAATATTCGTTCTCGATCACTCGATACACCCGTATCATCAATTTATATTCGCACACTCGTGTACGTGTTAATTCTCGTTTCTCTATGGAACCTTCATTCATAATCGATGCACGTTTATTGTCCGTGACGCGTTCAATCGCAATATCCGCCCGAAACTGTTTCACTGATCAGGCATTAAATTCGTATTAGGAAACGAGAATTAAATTGTCGTTTGCTGTTTAACACAATAAGAAATACTTTTCACATTCGTGACGCAAGAACGTGCGTAGTTTTTGTAACGAATAGTCCATACATTCTATGCGTCAGCCGTGTGCAGTCCAACGTGTTTTGCCGCGGCGAGAAACAGTTAATGTTTTCCTGGATTTTCAGCAAAAAAGTACGTATATATCAAGTTGGCCAAAAAGTCTCGTCGTATTTCTAAATGAAGTTTAAACAAAAATTTCACTTCGTTGAATCGACCCTTTATTGCATGAATTTATATAAGTTAAAAAAGATAAGCTATTATTCTATTTAAATTTTATCGTGGCAATGAAATAAGTAATAAAATATTGACACTAGATTTGCGGACATTTACTGGACAGTTTGCTCTATCGTTCTTAGAGAAATAGATATTCGTTCATTTTGATCTGAGAAAGTAGAGGGTTAAAAATTAAAAATCAGGGTAGATATTTGCGTAACAGTATCAATCAATTGTATGTGAAAATTATTATAAAATACAGGTAAAGAAGTTGGATGATAAATTAATAAATAGAAAAATTAGATAATTAATCGGGCAACATAGGAATTGATGTAATGTTAAATGAACGAAGACAACGCAGAATTTTAAGTCAAATTTTGAAGCAATTTGATCGGTCGCAGTACATTTAATGTTAATAACTTCTCAGAAAAACATTTTATCTTTCTCATAATTGTAAAAGAAAAAGTTCTCAATAACAATAAAATCGTTCAAAGTTTTAAAAAGAAAAAGCATCCTCGCTTTTCGACCCACAATATAAAAATATATCGCCCGATATAAACCCGATATAAAAATGTTTTTGTTAAAATTTAGTAGGCGTTTCTTTTGAAAGCAGCAACGATTAGAGTAGTGTAGGGCAGGGAAACTTTGTTGCATGATATTTTTCCCAAAGTTATAACACTTGAAATATTAGCAATTTTCCATCGAAAAATTGATCCTTTAATTCTTCACGCCGATGTTTTATTTTTCTCTATTGGCAATAAAATAGATTCCATTTTTCGCATAAATTATCGGGAAGAAAGGACGTTATGGTAAGCCGATACTCGGTGTTATGGGAAACCGTAAGGTATAACGGTCTGTTGCAATATGCACGTTCGATAAACCTTGAAACGCGTCTTCGAGGTGATCCCATCTTCGGATTTAAGATCAATAATCTGAAGATGAAAGGAACACTTGGATCCACATATCCATTCATCATAGGAACACCATATTAGAAAATTCAAAATATTAATCAATTTATTTAATGCTTGTATGTTCAGTGCGAATTTGATTTTGTTTATTATAATAAATCCTTGATTTTTGGATATTTGTTATTTTATTATGGCAAAGTGATCTGATATCATGTTGATCATGTTTGAAATCTGTATTATCTAAAATATATAATTTGTCCAAGAATGTATATTCCTCAGTTAGATCGACAAATTTTTTAGACCCAGGTCTTTCCACATTATTTCTGGTTTGCCTCTGAATAGTTAACTTTTGCGTCTTCTGTATACAAATTGTATGCAAGTATAAATTAATTAATCAATTTCGCTTTTTAACGTGTTTAACCCAAAAATATTAATAAAGTACCTACAAAATATCAAACTGTAATTATGTTTACCGCTACAAATCGTACGCTGCAAGAGCAGGATACTATGTAACTGAAGAGTATCTGAATTAGGTGATCCTCAGATGCAAAATAAAATAACAAATATGTTAATGTGAGCACTTTAAAATAAACTCAAATAAATAAATAAAATATATATAAATAAAATACAAATAAATAAATAGAATACAGATGAATAAGATATAAGTAAATAACTGAAATACAAATAAATAAATAGAATACAGATGAATAAGATATAAGTAAATAACTAAAATAAAAATAAATAAAATATCAAACAGCGTCCGAGGAAAAAGGTAAAAAGATAAAGAAAATAAAAGAATTGTAGAATACAAGGCATTATAAGATGCTCGAGGAATACTGAAAATTCTAGTTATAAACTTGTTGCGATAGAATTTAGGTTGTCTCACTGGCGCAAGTGCAAACATTCGTGTGACAACGAAAGTGTTAAATAATCCTACACGTCATTTCGCCAGTTTAAAAATTCCGAACGGTATGACGACTAATAAACAGTTCGAGAAATTTTACTCGCACTTCGATCTGGAACTCTAATTTCACCGCGTTTCCACAGTCCGTACCGCGAGCCCGCCATTAGGGAATTCGATAACCGTGCTTCGCATGCGGCAATGGCGTGCGTAGCCGCGATGCACTTCGATAACCTACACCTGGCACTCATTACACTCGAAACCTTCTGTATTTCCTCTTGAACATCTACAGCAACCCTTTCCCCACCATGCCGAAGTGTAATTAGCAGTCACGAGCCTCGCTCGTTACGTTTACTTCATCTCGAACCGCGGTATTCTGTCTTTTTCTTTCTTTCAACGGGATGGACGCGCAACGGTGCAGTCGCTTCGAGATCTTAAACCTGTTGAGGATCGCATTAACCTTTGCACTGCGACTTTCGACTGCGGTTCAGCCGTTCTCTCATATTTTGAAAGAACACATTTCTACGCGAGCCTACGTTTTTTCGCATGCTAAATTATGACAGTATTTCAGTGGTATTGATTATACGCGAAAGTTTACTTTTGTTCTTCTGAAATGTCATTATCAGTATTTTTTCGTTAAGCTAAGTGAAATGAATTTGCAGTTCTGGAACTTATACCAGTTTTTCTTTTTCGTTCTTTCTTCTTTGAAAGTAAATCGTGTACTTTATTCGAATTTCTTAATCAAGTTTCCACTTCATTTTTAACTTTCTTCGTTACTTTAACTTTGTAGGTGAAAGAAATTGATTACTTTAATACTTGCTATTAAAGTGAAACTAAACTTTCATTTCACAATCACATACTACAGTCAAATTTCTTAAATAAATAACCATTTACGCGTAAACGAAATTGTAAGGTCTCGATAATTTTTTAGGAAGAATAGCCTTTATGTTATTATTATATTAATATTATATAATCTATTTTATAGACTTACCATTGGTTTCAATTTTCAATAATGTTACATTCGTTTAGTCTTTTTCGATTGATTCGTATTCTCATATTTCCAAAGATACTTTTCAACTTGATAGAAGTAGACAAGAACATTTTTACTAGTATACGTGTTCTATCTTTTTTATTTAACATTTTAAATATGTAAATTATCTAAGGCCAACAACAGGGTTAAAATCGTTCAAATCTCACATTAATATTATCTATTAATAGTTTATCAAGTATAGTTCGAGGTCTTTCACTGCCAGTCATGAAACCTATTACATTCTCGAAACTAAGTGTAACGGAACGTCGTAGATTTCGCGAGAAGTGTCTCACCTTCGAATACATTAGACTGAGCGGCAAGCTCATGGCGATGCTGAGGATCCACACAAAGATAATTTTGAGAATAACCCTCCGCCTGGTCTTGTTGCGACCGAATTTCATGGGATACCGTAGGCTCAGGTATCGATCCACGCTTATGGTGCACAGGTGCATGATGCTCGCGGTGCAGAACAATACGTCCAGGCAAATCCAAACGAGGCAGTAGACCGATGGCAGCGGAAAATAACCTGAAATGATAATTGATATGTATACACATCGCTCGAATCAATTAGAGAATGATTTGACAATAATGTATTCAAATTAACCCGTATGCTGACAAGCGAAATGTCTGGATTTATCCGAATTTTCGTTATTACAATATTTCATAATGTTTTGCAGTATTTTACAATGTTGTATAATATTTTACGATATTTTACGTAAATTCTTTACTTTTGAAGTAACCATAAAAATGTTTTAAAAAATGGCATTCTAAAGTGATTTTGTCAAATTTCTACTAAAACGAAATAACAACATAAGGGTTAATGAGATAATTTATTATGAAATTCGATTGATTTTCATTTCGTTTTCGTTTCAAGAGAAGAAAAGTAACAAATATCGAAGTTAAATCGCAATCATTTTTAGTTAGAGATTTTGTAATCCGTTTCCGTTGGATTTCATTTATTTATTTATGTATTTATTCGAAATTTCGGTCTTCGTGTGTAATCAATTACTTTAACACGATATTCGAATTTTAGCGAGTTTTCAATTTTCCGTTTACTCCTCCGATTTTCATATTTTTCTGTGCAAAATCGCAAGTGAAATTTATATTTCGTGTAGATACAACGAGAACCCCATATCCGCAGGAGATTGGTTCCAAGATCTTTCGCGGATAGTAGCGAATGGCATTATATATACACACACACACACGCGCGCGCAGTTATTTGCACATATACTTTATAAGATTATATATGAAATTTTAATTAATACAATTACTAGTTTCAATATAACATTACTTTATTAATTTATAATTGTACATAATATCGTTAAACGTAAAAATATCATACATAAAATATTAAAATGAAAACAGTTACATATATAATACATTTTTAAAAAATCAGGTTCTTTTAAAAGCAATGCATTTATTATATTATATAACACTTAATATTTGCACTTAACATTCTTTAAAATATTTGTTATATTCGTGATCTGTAGCGACGATTCGCGAATCATCCTGTAGCAATTCAGGTTAGAATAATTGTGTAAACATATTAGGGACAAATCATATAATTAAATGCAATTTTCTGTAGTTACGATGAATCATATAACAAAATAGAATTTTTTCACACTGTATATCGTAGGGACAGTTTTACTGCGACACAATCAAACATTCAAAACTATGAAAATAAAGCAAAATTTTGAATTTATTCATTTATAACTTATGAGAAACACGAATATCATTTTATCGTTTAAAAACGATGCAAAAATACAAGTATGTGTAATTAAGAATGTGTTTAAGTAAATACAGTTTAAAATATCGTACCATATGAAGGGTGCTTTTCTATTTTAAAAAATGTAAGTATCTCAAGAAACACTGAGTTTACCAAAGAAATATTTTTACAAATATTATTTTGTATGGCAGAATACATCATGAGGTACAAATTGCTTCATACAGGTTGAGTGAAGAAATTCACAAAATCATATTCCCTCTCTTTATAATGCGTTGCCATTTGTTGAAATGAATTTAATGACCTGCCAGATAAAACAACTAATTCCTGTACAAAAAATGTTACAAATAGCATTACATACATGCATGTCTTATTCATTGACTTACCATCGTTTATTTATTTATGCATTTATTTTCCTCCAAGAAACGCACATATTTTTTTATTCTTTTATTTTACGAAAATGTGTAACGTTTTTAATATTTTCCTTAACTATTTATTCTTCAGAGACGAGCAAGTGAGTCATTCAGGCTTTCAGCTGCTGATACCGAACCATTGTGTAATACATTAATATCATAAATTATACAAGTGCTTGAGTTTTACTCTATCCAGGTTAACATCGTAACCTTCCCACTTCCAATATTTTATACCTATTATTCAAATGCTCCAAAATTTGACCACGATAATAGCGTGACCCATCGAATTCAGCCAAATAAAGAACATTTAAAAGAACGATAAGAAAGAAAGAAAATTTGAAACATATTCCAAACTCACCCCCATCAAAAAATTCGTAATTAATCATGCTCATAAAATTCCGAATCTCAACGTCTCTCAAATATATTTCACCCACTCCCTGTTTCCTGTCGTGCCACCGGTCGTATTCGCATTTATCTTCGAAACTTACTAACAGCTTCCGAACCGCTTGAAAAAAACTGAAGAAAGCGACCCCTATCGCGCGCGTATCTCACGGGAAACAGGAATTTTTACTTAAAACGCGAACATTCCGAGCCGTCACGCTCTCCTCGTCGCGCGGCGACTCAAACCAGCCCCGTCCCTTTCGAACTTTCCACGGTTTCTTAACCAGTTAACTGCGTTCGACGAGAATACACACGAGTTTATTTGTTAAATACGACGAGTATTTAACAAACACGAATGTCACTTAATTTTGTCAAGTTCAAATTAAATATTATTTTTCTATTATCAATTATGGCGTGTAAGAATAAAGCCATATTAATCCCTTGCCTTATAACATCGTGTCAGATTCGTAGCGAAGATTTCAAATGGAATTTAACAAGTACGAATGTCACTTAATTTTTTCCAGTCTAAATTAAATATAATTTTTCTATCATCAATTATGGCGCGTAAGAATAATAAAGCAGTAAGGTAATGGCACCAGTAATTGATCTGATATCAGTAGTTGACCATTTTTCAAGAAAACGTAACAAATAAGGTTTTTGCGATAGATATGCTGCAGCATCTACCAATCCAACTCCAGAACACTTTTACTTGAATGAAATTGTTTATCGTGAAAACTAACAAATTATTTCACTAACGTTGGTTGTACGCCTCTAACTTCCAACATGGAACTAACTTCTTTTCATTTGTATCTGTCCTTTTATTTGTAATTTGTCATAATCGTCGCAAATAAACGATATTAAAGTAATCACTTTCAGTGTTCTTCGTTCTTATATAAGTGGTCAACTGTCAACTAACGTATGGTCAATTACTAGTTTTCACGTTTTAAAGAATGGTCAACTTTTGACGTAAGTAATGAATTTTAAAAAATGTCTATCAAATTTGGATCATATAACTTTATCTTCGCTTTGTTACATAACGTGAGACGTTCAAACAGCATTTTCATGCATAGTCTCTCTATATAATAAAGGAGCAAGCATTTGCTATTATTCAAGCAGACAATTTTTCTTAACTGGTCAACTATTGATACTTTTACCTTATTTACTGTTTTTAGATAAACATGTAATTTTTCTTCGTTTCGCTGTAGCTTTTCGTTAGAACATATCATTGATGCATTTGACACGAGTTTGACGAGTATGCACTTTATTATTTGATTTTATCGCGCGCACAATGAGAAATTTTTCATCCCCAACTAAGGAATACTCTATATAATCATACACATATTGTAGGTATCCTGTCTGCATAATTTAAAGTAGTTGCCAGTGGCCTAATCAGATTTAGACAACACAAAATATACAATAAAAATACAGTAAAGATTTAATTACAGAAATTTGCAAGTTGCCCCGATGAAGTAAACAAAAATAGACTAGACGTGTTAATTTAATAATGCGTAAAATATTAACTTGATATTTCATTTAAAAAATCAGTGCGCTTTACAAGCAAGTTATAAGGACAATTTCCGGTGGTACGGAACGTGTTAACCTTTTGTACTCCAATGACCGCTCTCAATGGTCACTTGATTCAGCAGATACAAAATTATAAAATTTAATGTTTAATGTTAAGCTTCATACAATGTATCAATATGTAGAATATTGAATAAAAAAAATTGGGCTCCTTGCTTTCAAAACATGTCGTCTGTATCTCATAAAAAAATGTTGAATATTTCTAGTGAAGTAACTGGCGCTTTTGTACACGGTCCGGAAAAACTCGACGGGATAAGGTTCGAAGAAGAACTGGGAAGTTTTCATCAGCGACTCACCGTAACTCGTAAAAAGCTCGGCATTTCGGGATCGATCGGAATTTCCCCAATACTACACTTGTGATTTTGCATTCCACGGGTTCAAGTTACCGCTGAATTGGATTTCCAGTTGACTCGGCCGCGAGCATCGTTAGCCTTTGCCCCCATCGATACTTGCCACCTTTCGCGTTTGCTTTATTTTACTGTGGCACGTGAAGTACCGCGAGAAAAGGAGCGCGGGTCAATGATAGGGTCGCACGGAACAAAAAATCGACAAGCTGCTGGGTTACCGGGTTCCTTGGCGGACCTTTCGACGCTGCTAAACTTCTGCTGTGAGTGTTAATCGCTTCACCTACAATATCAGACACGTGAAGAAAATTTCAAACTGAATTTGAGAAATCTAAGTGTTATTCATATTTTTTTAAATACAAATTGAATATCGCTTTCCTATCATTAATCGTTAAACTTTGAAATAAACGTAGACATAGAATTGATTAAAATTTAATTAATTTGAAATGAAGAATTTAGAATTAAGAATTTTAAATTGAGGATTTGAAATTGAGAATTTAAAATTAAGAATTTAAAATTCAAAATTAGGATACAAATTCCCAATCCTTGTTACGCTATAAGTTTAAATCACAATTCGAATAAAATTTTGATCTGTAAAATTATCAATTTTATACAAATCAGAAAATTTGTTGTATTACATGCATTTCAGAATATGATAAAAATGTACGAGAAATAAATTTGATCTCGAAGATTCGACGGTAAATATTATGCTACGTGTATATATGGGCGTGTACCGTCGGAATCGAATTTGGAGATTAAATACACGATTGAAAATTAGTTTCAAAATAAACGAATCCTTTCGTGCTGGCGAAAAATCGTTCACGTCACGGAAGTTATTTTTAGAATTTCCCCCGTTTCAGAGAACACGTTATTTGCATAACCGCGTGAGCGATTTGCGGACGATTGTTAGGGGAAAAAGCAGGCTAACTCGTTATAGAATTGTTTATCTTGTAACGAAACTAATAATCCCTGAAAGCCGAATGTACAATCATCGGAATCGGTGAATGTGAACATGCCACGTTTCTAACATCCAGCATTTCCGTTCACGAATTGTATTCGTCGAAATTTTTTGTTCGACACAGTA